TCAAATGATAGTCACTGTTCTTGCAGGGCACTGTTCTTGCAGGGATGCTTCAAAAATTAGTCCGGCGGCATCATTCTAGCCGGTTTAAACGCAACCGAGACCATTTCAACGTAATATATGAATAAAATCGCATTCAGAGATGTCGCCTGCAGACGAATCGTTCGTGTTGCTTATCGTTCGTGATACAGAATAATAGGGAATTTACATGAGGCGATTTTTCATGCGATTTTTAGTTGAAAGCAACAATCGCCTAGTGTAAACGGCCTTTCAACTAATCGCTTACAATGAAGTTGGTCGGCTGCCTACTTTCGTTCAACTTTTGGTTCAACTAATCGCCTGTGAAAGTTGAATCATGTAAATTCCATCAAAAACTATAGGAACTCCCATCCCAAAATACCATCAATTATATTTTGTTAATACCAATGTGGCAATGCTGCTTCTAAAATGTGCAATTTATGAAACTTCAAAAATGCCTGTAACCGTCAAAAAAGTATGAAGTGAAACTACTTCTATTTTTTATCGGAATCGACTTTCTGGTTTTCAATTCTCAAAGTAAATTTATCACCATTGTCGACTTTATGACTTTTAAATTTACTCTGAAATTTTTCAAAAAAAAAAAGACTCACTTTTAGTAGGTAATGAACATGAAATTATTATTTTCAACAATTCAAAAAATTGTATTTTATCATTAAATAGCAGACGATGTGGCATTGAAATTTATAATTAAATATCAAGATTAAATAATTAAGAGTTGGATTACAGAAAATGAAGTGTAAAGTGAAGGTGCTTGGCCTCTGGATGTCCAATAATTTTTTAGTAGGGCTGCCACCATTTTAAAAGTTATATCTTCACAGTTAGTTGGACTGAAAATGAGGTACAAAGTGAAAGGATACGGTCTCCGGATGCGCAATAAGCTTTTATTTTTTTAAGTGGGGTTTCCACCTCTTTAAAAATTACCTTACATATGCATTTTTTGTTAATGAATTCAGATTTTCACAGTTCATTCAATGAAGAAAAAATGAGTGTCAAGAGCTTGGCCTATATATGTGCAATACATTTTTTCGTAAGGGTTGCCACCTATTTGAAAAGTCGAAACGAAAGAGTGCTAAGACATATTTAGCTTGAAGTGGTTAGTGTATTGGGTTTTTGGTTCAATGTGTTAGTGTATTTTGAAAGTGTGATAGAAATGGAAGAAATTGTAATAGAAATGAATGAAATTGTGAAAGATAAGAGCAAATGCCAAAACGTAGGTGATCTCATTTTTCGGCAATCAGCTGATAGTGTTTTTACTTAGGAAACTGTACGATGGTTGGGAACAAGGAAATTTTGACGCGACGAATTTTCTTGACAGCCATTACTATTTGATGGTAAAGAAAAGAGCAAAGTATATAATCGAACAAGTAAGAAAGTCCAAGTTCGGGCGGAGCCGAACATTAAATACCCTGCGCAAATATTAAATATATGTTTTTCACCTGTCCGAAAGCTGCCGCTACATGGTCCCTGCTTACCAATTCATCAATTTTGAATAAATTAGCGTCCTTAAATTTCGACATATTAGCTCTGATCCAGTACTCCATGAACTTACAGGATTTTACACGAACTTGCAGGAAGTTGCAGGAAAAATGTTCCCGTACTCCAAAATCCTGTAAATGAGAGCGACTTTTGGAGAGTTGTGTAGAGAATGAAGTTGCAAGATTTTACCCGAACTTTTTCTTCTAGTAAAATCATGAAAAGTGTCAAGCAATCACTGGTTGACGATTTTACAGGAAAAATGGATTTTTTGTTCCCGTACTTTTTGTTGTTACTCACTTTTTACTCTCACTTCAGAGAGTAATTTTGCTGTTTGACAGTTTTACAGGATTTTTCACGAAAAGTATTGGATCAGAGCTATTGAAGTTTCAAGCATTTCTTAAATTTACCGTTATATGAAAAGCGGCTGTAATTTCAGTCCGATTTCAATAATGTTCTAAGAGTTGTTGCAAGCATCAATTTTGACACTCGCTCAACTTCGCTCCGGCTACTGCAGCAGGTTGAACTCCTATTTGAGTAGGTTGAATGAGGATGTGCCGAATGAGTGTCCGGCATGCGGAGAGACCCCACACGACTCGAAACATCTATTCGCATGCCCGGAAAACCCGACAACCCTAACGGCCTTGTCCCTGTGGATAAACCCCACAGAAGCTGCACGCTTCCTAGGGTTGCCGTTAGTGGAACTTGACGACAACGACTGAGATACCAACCGATCTGGGCGGGGTTGTTGTAGCCGCTACAACAACAACAACAACTAAATTAGCTTTAATATTTACTGATTTATCGAAGTTTTCGTATTTCTGAAAATTACCGTTATATGGGAGGTAGGCGTGGTTATTGTCCGATTTTTCCCACTTTCAATACCATCCGTCCTACGCCCAAAAGAAGTGCACGTACCAAGTTTCGTTAAGATATCTAAATTTTTACTCGAGTTATCGTGTGCACAGACGGACGGACGGACGGACAGACATTTACCGCTTAATCGACTTCTCTTTTCATTTATGTATACATTTTTCTATATCTATCTCGATTCGTTTTGCCTGTTACAAACAACCGTTATGTGAACAAAGTTATAATACCCTTGTGCACAAGTGCGCTCGGGTATAAAAAAAGAGTACAGTATGCTGCTTAAAAACCTGAAGTTGTACGATAGTTCATACCGTTCCAATTTATTCGTGAAAAGATTGAATAAATTTCTCACTCTGTTCCACAATGATATTTGGATGCACGCATATACTCTGCTGGAAAATATTTCAAGTTTGATGGCAAAAAAAGTGTATAGTACAGTCAGCTATCTTTTCGAGAAAAATTCAAAAAATATCCCAGAGGAATCGTTACTAGAACGTATGCGTTCCGATTTAAAATGGAACGGAAAGAAACTAGACAAAATACAAAATGTCAAACTATTTTGAACTTCTATTGAACTATTTTTCCACCGTCACCGTTATAGTGAAATCAAGGATATACAAAATTGTTCACTTATTCCACAATTAAAATATGATTTACATCACATCAGATATGATCGTTTGGCTTTCCGCCAACTATTGTGTCGTATAGTGATAGAAGTTTTCTTCCCTTCCCTTCTTTCCCGATGGCGTCTCCATTTCATTTTGTATGGGATAGCAAATGAAAATACAAAATGAAACTAAACAAGTGAAGAAAAGAAACCTCAAAGCAAAAGAAACAGATTGTACAGGGGATCTAATACAAATACGCTCAACCAAATACACAAATAAAATAAGCCTAGATCCTGGGTGTCGGCTCATTTTAGCTGGTGTCCGGTTTCTATTATCGAAAATATTGACTTTAATTACGAGGTCAACAGTGACTCAAACAAGTGTTCACGTGTTGTATTTTTTTTTAATATTCAAAATGTTTTTCAAGTTAAATTTTTTGTTATTTTTCATTAAAAATATTGTCCAAGCTTTAGCCAAAACCATATAAATCAAAGTTGCAAACTTTATACAAAATTTAGGAAAATTCAACAAATTTTCATCAAAATTTCGAGCTTTTTAATCTGAATCTTTACAACATTTTTGAGTATGCAGTTTTATAGACCATAAAATGTTATGGTATTTATTCATATAAAATAAAGTGGCTTTATAAAAGGTTTATAAATTGAAAAATGTATGAAAACATCAATTTATAAAGCTCTTTACACCTACTTTATTTTTTATGAATAAGGCCATTAGTCTCATGAAGTGTGGCTACTAAATCGCGTAGATTTTTAATTATCTTTTTTGCAGCCGGATTTTCGCAATTTTTTCCTTATAGGAGCGTTTGTGAATCGGTCGTGAGTAAATTTTTGACACTATGAGGTGAATCAAATTTTAGTAGCCCATGAGGCTAGAGAAATTTTTGACAAATGCATAAAATATTTTGACAATCGCAAAGATTGTTGATGTGTGTAATTTTTCGTTAAATAAAAGCCCTAATTCATGAATTGCAATCAACGATGGTAGATGTTTATTTAAAATATTAATTTCACTTCAATTTGTAATATTTTATTTCGTATAAATCTGCGGTTATCAAAAATTAGTCACAGAAAAAAAAATATTAAAAATCAATGCGATTTTTAGCCGCTTAAAACTTGCACTTCATTTGACTAGAATTGTTTATGGATCGGATATGCATAAGTCGCTTAAACATACGGCATCTAAAATATACGGATAGCTGATCCTGATAGCTTTTTTTTCAAACCAAAAACTCAAATATTGCGCTTGGAAAAACTATAAAGCTTTGATTCGTTCATATGTATGTTACATATGGTTACCTTAATATAGAAAGGTCCTGACTCATATTCAGTCTCATTGCGAGAGTCGTGCCGAATGCAAGTCGTTTTTCGAGAGTCGAATCGTATCGAAAATTTAGCGTCATTGTCTAAAATTTCCACTGGACTAGTGTATTAAAACGGAAAAACTTGGCAGCACTGCATAGTTTTCGACGATTTTCGTCGTTTACTTATTTCAGCATGACAGTAGACAATGCTAATGTTGTCGAGTCGTACAATTCAGCCTAATTTACGACTTACGCAATGAGGCTGATTGTCGCTGAAATACAAAAAGCCGTAGCTAAGTAAAAATCCATAATTCCCTTTTTCAATTTTTATGAAGCATTTCATCGAATTATAAGTCCCCACATCATTATAAGCAATAACAAATTTTAGTTAGTTACGCATTTTTTGTGTTTCAGGGACTATATGAGTTAGGGCATTCCTATATTAAGGTAACGATATATATAATTGATTTGCCAATATTGATATAACATCCTCTGAGCCAAAAACGCATATTATGAAAAACACCAATGTCCATTATATTCGGTATTTCTTTAAAAATCTTCCTTGTAAAAATTATCGACGAATTGTTTTACCAGTTCTGGCAGTTGGGGCGCGCGGCAAAGAAACTTGTGCCCGTAACCTGCGTTGCCGCTGAAGCGATGAAACTCAACAGGTCCCCAAGTTTTCCCACGAGTATCAAGTGCTGTCCGATAAAGCTTGTACCCCAGTTCGAATGGCACAACATAATCATCCTCAGCATGAATTATCATTACCGGTTGACGGAATTCCGCAATATGTCGATCCGACTCAAAACGTAATGAGTTCGAATACATTGGTCGCGCTATGGTTAAATCAAACCAAGGAAGGTCCTTAAAGGGCTGCAACCAAAACAGTATTTCATTTTAAACCACTGTAAAACATTAAAATAAATCTAAATATGTGGTATTTTTTCTCACCCGTGAGAATGGATGTAACCGTATTTCATCACGTATGTTCGTGAAAGGCGCCTCTAGCAAAACCCCACGTGGCAGTTTCATTTTAAAATTTAAATTTAATTCTGCACATAGATGACACGCTACGCCAGTACCAAGTGAATGGCCCCAAATAAAGATCGGATTAGTTGTCACATTCCTGATATATTCATATACAGTCAGCGCATCGCGAACAATACCCTCTTCGGTGGGTGGAACGGGGTCAGAATCACCATAGCCACGATAATCTAACGCCACTACATGATAACCAAGCTTACGCAGCAGCTGATACATCTCAACACGATGACCCGAGCCACGAGATGCGGTATTGCCGTGCAAATAAAGAACAATGATACCCGGAAGTTTGAGCAGTCGCTCATAAAAGAGCTGCTCATTCTCGGCGTTCACATCGGGGAATTCCGATTTCAGTACAGGCATCAATTGGTCTATTTTCTCATCTTTTTCAATGGTGGTGTTCTGCAGTTCCTCATGTGCTTGCTGTAAGTAGGGAGGAAAATCTTAATTTGTTTCAAGCATATGTATGTATGGATGTATGTAAAAAGAAATTACTTACCGTATCAATTTTCAATTCTTGAGCAAAGCGCTTCGCTAATTGTAAGGGCAATACGTGCCATACACCGATACGTATACCGTCATGACGTTCTTCAGCATCTGGATCAAGTACACTAATATGTAAACTTCTAGTGCCAAACAATCCTATACTGGCCGGATTCGACAGATCGAGATCTTTCGGGTATGTGACTATTAACGAAAAATTTGTTTTTATGAATGCACTTATACAACATTATAGTAAAATTATTTATATTTTTAAAATACTTACTAAAAGTTAGAAACAGAATTCCTCTTTGCAACGTTATAGAGTAACGAAACACCAGAGGGAATCCAACAAATATTATCAAAAATACTAGCATACATAATTGGACAACGGCAAGTGATATTCTGTGGGAAAAAGGCGAGAAGACAGATAATGGAATTAGTGTTTGTACACGTAATTGTCTTTAGCAAAATAATTTATACGTACATACATGTAACTAACTTATTAAAGTCGTTTCGTCGCTTAGCGCGCAATACTTCGTATCCGCCAAATGCAGTACCACGTATGCGGTGGCATAGAAGCAAATTTATTTTGGTTACCCCGTCTCAATGCTTCCCTACTTCACAAATTTAATAGTGCATAATTATTGTAGAAGCTCATATTTGGTGAAAAAAATGAGTTTCTTCGCTCTTTTATGAAATTTTCGGACTATCTTATACGATGTATTGCGCGCCAGGCGACGATGTATTTTTCTTACTTAAAAGCGATTTTCGAATGAAAGAAAATGTTTAATCGTATAATCGTGTAAGCAAACATACCACGAAATATGAGAGATATGAAAGCACATTAAATATGTTTATACGTACGTATGAATTAAAATCATAATTATGATTATATAAAAAATATTTCAACTCAAGCAGAATACCGAACACATTTTTTCATAGCTTAAAACACACAAAAATAAAGATCAGCAGAAACCAAAAATTTTAGATGTTAGATAAGAAAACAAACACGCTGGATGATTAATTTTCTAATTTCTATATCTTATTGTTTTAGTGGAGAATGTGATGGAAATTACTATTTAAAATTATTCTACAAATGTATTTATGTATATAAAATTAGCGTACTTACATCCCCGTCAGCCAAATTAATATGAATGCTCCCGGAATGACTGAAGCACGAAATATTATATTTAAGAATTTATATGTTTCGTACATTGCATATATGTTTGTATAATCGTTTTTATCAGGCCTAAATGACATTAAATTTCGTAGATTGCTTGAAAGGCCCAAAAGGAATCGAACATTGAATTTGAACACAAAATAGTCGACTGAACACCACAAGAAATGGCTGCAGTGTCACACAAAACCAAACAAATGTTTTGGAAGGGGAACTTTGGGAATTTCACAGGTGCGTCTAGCTGGGGAACTATGTACATATGTGAATGATACAATGTTCAATAACTTGTTAAATACGGCAATGGAATACTGACAACTACTTAATTCGAAAGTGCCTTTCTTTTCTAGTTTAGTTTTTTCTCTTTAATTTTTACTTTTTCTTTAATTTGTGCTATAAGGCATTTGTGTATTTGACTGGTGTATGTAGGCGAATTCACTGCGCCATTCAGCAATTTTTACTATGCAGATGGATTTAACATGGAAGAGAGAAGAACAAAAAAAAATAAAGCATTAGCATTCACTATTAAATTCGAACATAAAACAATAAATAGGTTAGTGAAAAAGAGTTAAAGCTACATACATACATACATACATCGATAAAAAATAAAGTAAACCCAAGACCGATAGAACGCAAATCAATCGGACAGAGAAAGTCCCACTTGCATATAACAAGTGTAGTTAGTGATTTAGCGATTTTGTTTTATTTTATTTTGAAACAGCACAGCTACCGAAAATAGGGCCTCGACCGAATAATGACCAAGCGGTGGTATCCATTTGTTACCAAAAAGTGTGAACTTTGACACGCTGTAAAAAAAATTTTTATGATATTCAGCAGAATCTGCTTAGAGTTTGTCCATCGCAAATGGGTGTACCGTTTGGGCATAATTCGTTTGAGAGCCTAAGCAAAGACCCTAAAATTGTTCTGCACTAAATTGTTCGGATTGAAATTATTTACACACTTAATGGTTTTAATTAGCGATAAGAGTCATTTTCGTACCATAACCGAAGGGCAGCGTAGAATGTATATTATCGTAAAAAATGCAAATACTTATTTGAATGCGAACTTCTTTTCTTATGTAAACAGGGAATGGATTTTTAGGACCAAAAATCTATAAAAAAGGCTAAATAAAATAATGAAATAGGCTAAAGAAGGCAAAACAAAATAGCGAAATGGACAGGAAAAGGCACTAGAAATCGCAAAAAGCACTAAAAAAAAAGACAAAAACCGAAAAATAAACAACAAAAAAAAATCATTTATTTTAGAAATGTGTATTTTACACGTAAAAAGAGAAAACTTAAGAACTAGTGTCATGATATGAAACATTTTTACTTTGAATATTTGACTATTTTCTCCTTTCGAGTTTTTAACTCACAAAGCTTTAATCTCTATAGTTATAGTAACATTGAATCACAAGATGTATTTTCAAGTTTTCTGGCAGCAGTTCATTCGATTTTCGCGAGCCATGAATGTACTAAACGTGCGCTCGACGTGAGTTGATATAAGTGGTGCCAAATTTAAATATGGAACGTTTAAAACTATCATATTATCAGGAATAAGGGCTTTTTCCTTGCCCTTTCCAATTAAAGGTAGAAAATACCCAACAAGCATTTCAGTAAATGTTTTTAAAAATAACTTAAAGTAAGTTTGCTATAATAAGCATTAAATAAGCATTTTTAATATTAAGCTTATTAAAAGTTTTTTCAAATGAACCTTTAATAAGTTTTGAGAGCGAATGTTTATAAATAACTTAAACTTTTAAATGAAATGCAAATGCCAACGACATGAAGTAAATATAACATTTTTTCAATCGTAAGTGACGTGTTTACGTTTTTTAATATATATTATTAAAAGAAAAAATTAAATAAAAGCGATGCGGTAAAAAAAAAACCAATCCAGGACCCGCTGCGCTAATCGGTGGAGCATTCGAGTCTTCAAATGATGAGTTCTCCTTATCCTTTCTTAGTTTAACATTCTATTAAAAATGTATTAAATTTTTTTCAGAAAAGTTCATCAATGAGAATGGCAGCGTTGAAGCGAAATATATAGCTGCATAATAACCGCATGTAATTGCAAGCACGCAACAAGATGTAATAATTAACTTTTTTATGCTTAATTTTTGTGTGTTATCGTGAATTTGTATGCTAAAATGTCTTCCCTATTTATATTTTCGCGACTGTAGATGAGTCCACCGAAAATTCGCATTTCTTTTAGTTTCTAGATGTTAAGCAATCTATGTATGGGTTTTTAATGAAATACCTTTAAATAAAGGGTTGTAAAAATGTTTATAAAAAGCTTTCTTTTGAAAATTTTTAGTAAGTTTATATTCATACGCTTATAAACAACTTTTTTTGAACCTTTATTATAAGTTTACACGTTTACGCTTATAAAATGCTTTCTTTTGAACATTTATTACAAGTTTATATTTCTACGCTTATAACCAATGTTCCTTTTCGATTATATTACGCTTACTTTCAAGCGTTTTATAAACAAAAAAATCAACGTTTTGTAAGCTTAATGTTTATAATTGAAAACTTAAAAAAAAACTTTCTTTAAGTTTATTTTGCTTGTTGGGTACAAAAAAAGGCAACATCAAATGTGTATATATGGAATCAGGGAAAGCTAAATCGTGGACATTCTTCATTGAATATAATCTATACCTTAAGCAGAAAAAAGGCAATTTCCATAAAATCCGTTCCCTCTTTACTTCGTCTTAAAGAATTACTAATTACTACTAACTACTCAATTAAATTTAATGGTGCATTGTACTTGTATATACGTTAATATACTTCTGTGTATTGGTTAACCGGAAGTCTGGTTTATTCGTGTTAATTTTAATGTATTCTCTAGAAAATACCTGAATAGATCATTTATGTATGTATATAAAATAGGAAATTATAATCGGTATACCTTTCATGAAACATTTCTCATTCGCTGCGACATAAAATAAAAGATTTTTAATAAAATATTAAGTGCGAAAGCTCTACTAAAAAAATTTCTATAATCGAATACATTCATTAAAGTTTAATTAAATGTGTTACAGTCAATCTCTCTATGGATATTAAGATCTAATTTTGTCAAATAGAAGTAATTACTCTTTCGTACATTAATTAATGATATATACTCGTAATACACCTTACTGTTTGTATAAAAGATTGTGACAGTCACCTTTTTAAGAATTTTCCTCTGCGCGTTAAAAACATTACTAGAAATAGAAAAATATATAGAATAAAGAAAGAAAGAGTTCGTAAAATTGTTTGCAATTGCATATATATACACATGTACATATATCTACATATAAGTATGTATGCAGCTAGCAATTTTTTCGCGGGAGAAAGAGAGAACATGAAGGTCATTTGTTGTTTTTTTTTTTTTTTTTGATAACAGCGATCGTACTTTTTCCTGAGCGTAGTAGAGTGCTAAGTGGCACTATCATGAATTACGCGGCGTATTTTTCAAGTTATGGGAGTTGCTGGCAATGAACTCCGGCATGACGATATGATGACTAGTAGAAAACCGCATGAGAAATGTCGTAAATTAAATCTTGTTTTGGCTTTTTAGGGTTGGAGTTCACATGACATACATATGTATGTATCACTCAAAAATTATATTAAAAAATATACAGTTGCCATCAATTAGATAGTAGCAAAATTCAGAATGATATCGCTGGCAACCACATAAATATAAAAGTTTCAAAGGTTGCACAAAATTCACAAAAATTGATTGAACTTAAAAAAAATTTTCATAAAAACTTCAAGCTTTTTATTCATAGTTTTTTGAAAATTTTCGAGTATGCAGTTGTGTAGCTCATTTAATTTTAGTATAATAAAGTGCAAGTTTCAAATAGCTAAAGACTAACGTTGATTTTTCACATTTTTTGTTAAGGGTGTTGCGCATTTACTTCCATATATCTAATTCTAATATTCTATAAAAAAAAAAATCCAAAAAATCAACGGTAATTTTTAGTGACTTGAAACTTGCACTTTATCATACTGAAATTGAGTGGGCTACAAAACTGCATACTCGAAAAATTTATAAGAACTCTGAAAAAAATTTAAGTTTTGATGAAATTTTTTTAAGTTTAGTTTTTGTGAAATTTTTGCGACCTTTGATTTTTTGTAAATATAAATATATAAAGATAAGTTGTAAACATCATTTGGAGTTTTGCTACTATCTTATTGACCGCAGCTGCATATACATTTTACTAAAGTTAAAAATAGATATAAAAAACTTCATTTCGGATAATTCAAGTAGCTGTCCAGGACCGCTGCGGTTTACTGATCACATATTCCCCAAGTCACCGCTTTTGGAGCATAGCGGATTAAACATTTATTTAGTGCAAGATTTAGTGAAGCCAATTAACCTTCGACACTTAACCAATATAATCAAATACAGACATACACACATATGTACATAGATATCCGTTAGTACAATGAGCGAATATAGTATGTATGTAAACTTCAGTACAAATTCACATACATATATGGCTACGGCAACTGACACACATATCACATGTATCAAACAGACTAATAAACCCTTTTCTTGTTGTTGTTGTTGTAGCGGCTAAAACTAATCTGCCCACAACTAAAAATTAGTAGTAAAACAAACACCAAATTTAACACCTTAAATATTTGACTGTTTGCAATACGCAAAACTAAATAGTATACAACCTAAAAAACAACACTCGGTGTATGTATATATAAACATATATATGTACGTTTATTAAATAATTCGGTTAAAACTTTTTTCGACAATATTTGCGCTTGATGACGAGCTCTCGGCGAATGTGTGCGCTCAGCACCGGACTTGTGAATAAGTTCTTTCAGCAAATGCTCCAGCTAGCCGCTAATTCCAGCGACAAGCCACTTTATTGTGAAATACGAGAGCAACATTATGTATTTGTGAATAGCAGCAATATTACTCTTTTGTCTGCGCTCAGCCATTATCATTGGGACGAAAGTGCTCGCAGCACACAGAAAATGTTTTTATGTGATATCTTTTCACTCATGAATATGCATTGCATACACACAATAATATTAATGGTTAATTAAAGATAGTAGTGCGTTCATAAAATGTGGCAAAGTGGCATTTTTGGCGGAATTGCAACGTTGAAAAAAACTTGTATGAACGACCTATTTCAACTCCGGATTTCAAAAGTAAATTTTTTTTTAAATGCCACGCGTAAGTAAAAAAAGTTTTTACCAGAGACCCAGAATAATAACACAGATTTACAAAAAAAAAACTGTATGCATATTAAATCAAACCTATATGTCCCTATGTTATACGACACGCTGACTGCGAATCCAAAGTCCGTTAGTCTCCATCACGTCAGGTTCGAGGTCAGTTGAAGGTCAAGTAGGGAAAAATTCATTGAATAAACCTGAAAATTCATATATATATAAGATTTTAGATTCGTTTCTCCTCCGATTTGTGGTGTGCGCCTCGATGTTGTCACACAAAGGGGAGGGACCTACAGTTTTACGCCGACTCCGAACGGCGATTGTATTTTTATGAGAAGCTATTTTTCATCTCATAAATACACTCGGAGGTTTACCATTGCCTGCCGAGGGGCGACCGCTGTTAAGAAAAAACCTTTTTGAAGTGAAACTTCTTTTGCGGCGGTTGGTTGGTTGGGAGTAAATTGGCAAATTCAACGGAAACTGCACACGGAAATGGTGCAACGGAAATGGTTGGGGCTGAAACAAGTGTTTCTTATACATATACATATACATATGGTATTAATTTAACAAAAATTTGCTAATAAAAGGTTAAAGTATAACACTTAGAAAAAGACCAATACAAGAATGAAAGTAACGGTGACTACGTACATCGATAAAGAAAAGCGTAAAGGCAAAGGTAAAAATAAAAACAGAAACAAATGAAAACCAAGGTATATGTAAACACTTTATTTATATACATATATAAGGGCAAAGGTGAAGGGGAATATGTAGATGAAGAAAATCATAAATATAAAAGTAAAAACAAAGATGAGGATGAGGATACCGTAAAAAGTAAAGACGAAGATTGAGTTGACCGCAAATATAACAAAAGTTATCAGGATGATTTACTCTGAGCATCACAATCACAAAAAATACCGTTTTAATGTCTATAATCATCCTTATCGCCAACTCCATGTGAATAAATCGCTCCATAGCTTAACAGGCAAAACAAAAACAAGTTGGAAAAATTGTTTTTCTCTAGCTTTATAATTTTTGGGAATATTTGTTCCCATGGTATTCGTGATAAAGCCGAATAATTTAACGTAAATTTATCAGAAGCACACTTTGGTAAGCAAAATACGTGTTTATCAGTGTTATCATTAAGATAAATATTTTTAAGTCTTCAAAGACTTTTATTTTGGGATTTTTATTATATGTCTTTTCATAATAATTATGAGTGCGAAAGAATAGGGGTATTCTCTGAGTCTTGCAAAGCCCTTGCACGGTGCACGGATTGCACGGTTTGCAAAGCTGTCCAATCTGTGCACCATGCAAGGGCTTTGCAAGACTCAGAGAATACCCCTACCGCTCATTGCTCTTCAAGAGCACTATATATCAGAGCTTATATCTTGCCATCTATTGCCGGCAATTTGGTAGTTTGACAGCTACATGTTCATTTGCATGAAAACTTCGTGGCGGCAACATTATTGATATTTTATTATAAAAGCAAATATTGAACTGTTTTCGGTTAAAATATTTGCTATTATGTAATTGGATGTAAAATAGCCTATTTTCTAAATTTTTTAAGTGATTAAATCCGGCAAAAATACGTTTTAGAAGCTATCTCACAGTTGCTTATATCAAGATATAAAAAGCCCACACAAATATTGCCACTGATATAATTTATATCTAGTGACCAAAATGACAGCTGGACAGCAATAAATTTTATCCTATGGAGACGGCCAGTTACTAGCAATCTTCATTGTCAATTTTAAATGTTTACAGGACTTGATGATTATAATACATACATACATAAATAAACAACACCTTTTGCACACTCGGTAGAAAAAAAACTAAATATGGAATGTATGGCCTAGTGAATAAACTTAGAACATACAAATATTAACTGAAAATATGCGTGAAGTCCTAAACGCAAAAACACAAAGCAACGGTATTTTTTAATTCCAAACCGGACTAAAAGAAAAGGCAGTACCGCGACCTGTGTAATCTAACCGTGGTTGATGTTTTAAAACTATCTTTTTTTTAATCCAACCAGCACTTTATGTATTTATGCGATGAAATTTCATGCAGATTAAGCCAATTTTAATGCCTTTCCCGACCAAAATCTTCAGTGGGTTGAGATGAGTGGGCGCAAGTGCCTATTCAATGATGGGATGAGTGTATAATTTAAGAAATAATTATGTTAACTATGTCTCCGTATTGTCTTTTTTTAAGACATCAGTTCCAGTTTACATTTTCCTATCATCATCTTCCAATCAGAAAGCAGGACTGTTCCGAGCGGAGCGAAGCTATTAATGTTCACACCTGCAAATATACCGCAAAACGTCACTTAAAAGAAAAACCTATTTGTGGAATGCTCTTGAAAAGATTTATATAAAAATCGATTATAATTTAAATATTTTTACTAAATGAGCTTTACTTTCAGCTCAAAAATGCTCCTGAAATAGCCTGCTATATGAAAAGTTTCATATAGTTATAGTTTTGAAAACTTGTTGTAAACGTTTTGATGAATGCTGCTGGGTTGTTCTGGCTACGTAGACCCGACTGTCGTGGGAACGATTCTGAAAGCTTCGCACCGCTCAGCTCGTCATAGCTTCTGTGCGCAAGCACATTTAGACAATATACTGAAAAAATGGGGAAATTAACAATCGAATGTAAATTAATGGAACTCAACGATTTAATAAAACGTGGTTGAACTTTAGTCTTCTCGAATATTGCTTTAATATTTTAGTGCATACAAAGATATTTATATGTATGAGTATTAACTTAACATGTTACCTATTCGGTGTAAAAAGGTTGTTTCCGCCAGCAGCTTTATTGTCAATCGGGAACCAATTGTGATTATTTTAATGATGCAAATTTTTTATTTTAGCTATTAGCGATTATCTAAAAATAAAATTTTATATAAAAGTTACAGAACTGAAAAAAATATTAAATGTAAAATTATTACAAAGTCGAACATAAATATAAGTGGGTGTGTAAAAAGATACAAATCTTAAACGATTTCATCTTTATGCATTTCCAGCTATTCAAAACAATAAAATTAACGATCTTTTTGGGAAATTTACGTTATAACGAAATTTTCACCGGGTGGTTACCACTAGCATATGATTCCTGGTTCAATCGACATGCGAAAAGCGAAATGTGAGAAACGCCTATTGCCTGGTCAAATAGCCGGTAGTGGCATCAAATATCATTCTTCATTCTTTTGGCGTGATTGGACAATTGTAATAAGTTCATTGAGCGCTAATCACAACGGATGAGGAATTTTTCTTACGGAAAGCAGCAGAGATTTACACACAAACCAACTACATACATAACCATGGTATATAATTAGTTTAATTATGCCTGCAACACCCAATTGGATACAATGTAAATATTTTCTCCTAATCTTTCAGGAATCTATTGATTTTTTAACCAGTCGGTTAAACTTTGTTTGGTCCCGAATGCATACTCACGTTTTCTGCAATATTTATATTTACATTTTCTTCTCACTTTATTGCTACAATTTCGTATTTTACTGTGAATTTTTGCAATTATTTATCAAATTGTGCAAATAGAATTTTCAGCGCTGAAAATCGGTCGCAAAAGCACACGCAAGTTATTTAATTCCATTTGTCAGCTGTCAAAAACCAGGGTTGCTCTGTTATAGAGATGGGTAACTCAGCACTGACCGCGCTATTGAGTTGACTTCCAGCACTGTGTCGCACGCTCGGACTCACTTCTAATAAAAATATGACTCAGTAACTCAATAAATAAATAAATATTCGCCACACTCAGAGGAAGAATGAAAATAAAGACTAGAAATTTGCGAAAATTTGAAATTCGTTCAAGTTATTCCACGCATCAGCTCTACAGCGCATACTAACTCATTTCCTGTTGTTGTTGTTGTAGCGGCTACAACAACCCCGCCCAGATCGGTTGGTATCTCAGTCGTTGTCGTCAAGTTCCACTAACGGCAACCCTAGGAAGCGTGCAGCTTCTGTGGGATTTGTCCACAGGGGCAAGGCCGTTAGGGTTGTTGGGTTTTCCGGGCATGCGAAGAGATGTTTCGAGTCATGTGGGGTCTCTCCGCATGCCGGACACTCATTCGGCACATCCTCATTCAATCTACTCAAGTAGGAGTTCAACCTGCTGCAGTAGCCTGAGCGAAGTTGAGCGAGTGTAGTGCATGTCTCCCGAGGCAGATGAAGCTCTGTCTCGTCTATGTCCGGGGGTGGTATGCCTAGAACGGCATTCACAGGTCTAGAGTCTACATAACGCGAGACTGAGTCCCTGTGAATGCCGTTCAGGGCCTGTCTGTACGCTGTCGGGTCCAGAGGTTGCTTAATGAACCTCTGGACTTCGTCCGTCAGTTCATATAGATGCCTCCTGACGTGCCTAGGCGAGGGCTCCTCTGCAAGCAGCTGTCTGCTTGGGTGGCCACTTCTGTGGCTCCCGATCAGGAACTGCTTGCAGAGCATTATATTATGCTCCTTAACTGGGAGCATTTGCGCCTCGCCGTGCAGGTGGTGTTCAGCCGACATCAAGAGGCATCCCGTCGCTGTCCTAAGTACCGTATTTTGTACCGTCTGTAGCTTCGTCCACTGCGTCCTACTAGTCCCAGGCGACCACACTGGCGCTGCGTAGTTCAAAACCGGCCGGCCTATTGCCTTGTATGTTGCCAGCAACGTTTCTTTGTCTTTGCCCCAAGTACTGCCGGCTAGCGACTTGAGGACCTTGTTGCGGCTCTGTACTTTATTGACAATAGCGGTTGAGTGCGCAGAGAAGGAGAGCAGACTGTCGAATGTTACTCCGAGTATTTTGGGGTTATTCACCGTCAGAATTGGTGTGTCATCGACGTGAATCCCCAGCGGTAGCCTGACCTCCTTCGTCCAGGTTGTGAACAGGGTCGCGGAGGATTTCGTAGGGGAGAGGGCTAGACACTTTGCAGTGAAGAAGCGAGAAAGTTCGGAGAGATAGCCGTTTACTTTCGAACACAGGTCATCAATTCCATTCCCAGTCGCCATGATCGAGCAATCGTCGGCATAGGAGACAATCGAGACTCCCTCTGGTGGTTGAGGGAGCTTTGAAATATAAAAGTTAAACAGTAGCGGGGAAAGGACACCACCCTGAGGAACCCCCTGTTTTATTTTACGCTGCTTACTCGTTTTGTCTCTAAATATTACCGACGAATGTCGACCACTCAGATAATTTGCCGACCACCGTTTGAGCCTCTGTGGGAGAGAGGAGGCCTCTATATCTTCTAGTAGCGTGGAATGGCAGACGGTGTCAAACGCCTTTGACAAGTCCAACGCTACTAGAATCGTTCTCTCACAGGGACGGTTGCGGTTAAGGCCACGAGTTATCTGAGTGTTTATGGCGTTAAGTGCTGTTGTTGTACTGTGCACTTTACGGAAACCATGCTGATGCTTCGCTGGGGTCAGGTGGTTTGTGAAGTACGGGAGTAGCAAGGCCTCGAGTGTCTTCGCTACCGGGGAAAGGAGTGTAATCGGACGATACGAATCTCCTTTGTTGGCGGGTTTCCCCGGTTTGAGCAGTGGGACCACTCTCCCCACCTTCCAGATGTCTGGGATGATGAGAGTGGCCATTGACAGGTTGAGGACCTCCGTTAGGTACGCTACCCCCGCAGGACCCAAATTTTTCAGCAACAGCATGCATATTCCGTCGGGACCCATGGCTTTGGAGGCTTTCGCCTTCCCGATGGCCACTTGAACTTCACCGCAAGTGAAAGCAAGGGGGGCACAAGTTGTTGGCAGTTTGTGCAGCCTTCTGGTCACTCGACGCTTGGCTTTATCCACCGGAGGATGCAGTATGAACTGCCGGCTAAAATAGCTCGCGCATCGCTCCGGGTCCGACGAGGCATGGTCGCCGAAGGAAATTTCGACTCTGTCGTCGTGCTTCGTCGGATTAGACAATGACCTCACGGTTGGCCAAAGCTTGCTCACACCAGAGGTGAAATTACAAGTCTTCAGGTGCTCCTCCCACTTCTTCCGCTAATGTACGTTTACAAGTTGCCGAATCTCCGTGTTGAGATCCCTGATACGGGGATCTCCGGGATCGGCCTGACGAAGGCTATCACGCTCATCGGCTAGAACAGCCGCTTCGGCAGGGAAGTTTGGACGTGGGTCCGATATACATCCTGCCGGTATGAAGCGAACTGCAGCAGCAGTGATAGCCCTGCGGAACTTACGTTCACCGAGATGGACGTCGGTTGGTGTGGGGAGCGCTGCGAAGGTGTTTTCGGTAAACTCCGCGTAACCTTTCCAATCAGCTTTAGAAAAGTTGATATAGGTCCGGTGTTTGGCGGAGGCAAAGTCGGTTGGTTTATCAATCGAGATGACTATGGGTAGATGGTCTGATGCTAGAGTCAGCATAGGTCGCCACGTTATGCTGTTTATCAGACCAGCGCTGACTATTGTGATGTCTGGCGAGCTACTGCAGTTACCCATAATCCTGGTGGGTGCGTCGTCGTTCATTGTGCAGAATGTCGAATCGTCTATCTGCTCAGCCAAGTCTGTTCCCCTACGATCGTTTGACAGGCTTGAGTGCCAAAGATCGTGGTGCGCATTAAAGTCACCTACTACCATACGGTTTTCACCTCTGAGGAGCGCACCTATATCAGGGTGATATCTTGCCGGGCAGCAGGTGACAGGGGGTATGTATATGTTAAATATTTCGAGCTCGACATCGCCTGACCGGATAGCGATGCCCTGACATTCTAGGGTGGTATCCCTGCGGTCGATGTCTGCTTCGATAAGACGATACTGCACGGTGTGGTGCGTGATGAACGCTAAGCCACCACCATTATCTCGCTCGCGATCTCGACGGTGCACGTTGTACCCGGCGCAATTCAACAAAGTTGAATTGCTGTGCAACTTCGTCTCTTGGACCGCAGCTATTAATATACCATGCCGACACATGAAGGCGGTTATCTCCTCAATCTTGCTCTGTAGCCCGTTACAGTTGAATTGAAGGAGCTTCATGTGGTTCGGGAGACGTGTCGTGATGTGGGGTGTAAGTGAGGTGTATGTTCTTGCCGTCGTTAGCTGTGTGTGCTGCTGAGGTGATTGCCGCCCTGTGGGGGTGGTGGGGGGCGTCGCAATTGAAGTCTGCGACCGAGCAGCGCAACACGGGCCCTCGAAGTTCCCCGTCCAATCTCGCGTGGTACGCAGACCTGAACATGCCCTAAAGTGGCAACAGCCAAGGCAAGTGTTGCACTTGACTCATGTCACATTACGGAATATTCTGGTCTGACATACCGTGCAGATTGTAGGGGGAACCAGGAGCTGTTGGCGGCGGCGAGTGGGTGGTGGTGCGGTTGAGTGTGTTATGTGGTCTGTGGTGGCTGTGGTACGGTCTGTGGTGTTATTATGTTGTCGTGTTGTGGTGACTGTGAGTGGCTGCTGTGTGAGTGTGTGGGGCTGCTCGGGCGGACTATGGTTAGCCGTGGAGGCTGCTCTATTTGAGCAACAGGGGGCCACGTACGACGTGGTCCACTGCCTGTGTGTCCGTAGTCCCGAGCAGACCCTGAGGTGACTCCACCCCTCGCAGGCATTACACTTGACTGAGGTGGAGTTGTGGTGTAATCGTCTTCGGCATACACAGCAGGTGTATATTTCTGGCCCAGGGTTTGACTCGTACTCGCCCTGAGTAGGAGAATGCGTAGTGCATGTTGCCCTATGGACGGACAACTTCTGAGATACTTCGCCGACCTAAACGGGGTTAGATCGCCGAAACAACAGCCCTTGGTCGGGTGAAACCCGAGTCATTCCGGTACGTAGAACCGGCTGTCGTGGGAACTCATTTCCTCTTAAGTTTTGGTTTCATCGAAAAGCGGTGCCGTAATATTACGACCGTATCATACCGAACGATATTCTTAACGATATTCTAACCGCTACAAATATGACGTTGCCAAAAAACGTTGATAAATAGTTATACATCGTCACTGTTGCCGTCAAAAATATTACGGTACCGTCAAATTACATTACGGTGTGTATTGCCATCATCTTAGTTGACATCTTGCAATATTTACATGGCAACGTTTTTGGCAACGTAGAGTTGCGACCGCTTTTTTATGTTACCGCTTTCGAGGAAACCAAAGCTTTAGAAGCTCTACAGTGCAAACCAGCTCCAGAGAACATATAGTACTGAGAAGGTGCAAATTACTCTGCGGAAATCGTGTAGTATGGAATTTAACATTTTTGCTATTTCATACTGGGAAATTTATCAGAGGCATTTGGAACGCAAAATTCAGACAGATTTGTTCGCTGTTAATGCCTTGCTTACAGCTTCCTAACAGCCCTAACGTTGCGTTTACATAAGACAATTTGAGACAAGACAATTGAGAATCTACTATATATTTGTGGAAGTATGTATGTATGTATGTGCCAGGTTGCAGCATAAACGGATGGACAGAATCGAATAAAATTTTGGCAGAGTATTGCCATGACACCTGGGCTTATAATAGGAAGAAAAAATTGGGATTCGATAAGGGGGTGTGGCACCTCCCATAGCCGTGAAATTTTTATCAGCAATAACTTCGGAACGATAAGCCCCACGAACTTGAAATTCGGTATACAGGCATAGCTATGGTAGGTGCTTATAAAAATGAGTTCGTAAATGGGGGCGTGGCACATCCCGTAGACGTGGAATTTTTAATCAGCTATAACTTCGACACCATAAGTCACATGAACGTGAAATTTGGTATGCATGCACAGCTACGGTAGGTGCTTATAGTAAGGTATATATAAATGAGTTTGTAAAAGGGGGCGTGACACATCCCATAGGCGTGGAATTCTTTATCAGCTATTACTTCGACACCATAGGTCACATGAACTTGAAATTTGGTATGCAGACATATCTATGGTAGGCGCTGATAGTAAGGTATATACATATAAATACATGTTTGTAATAGGCGACGTGGCACATCCCATAGCCGCGAAATTTTTTATCAGCTATAACTTGGGAACCATAAGCCCCACGAACTTCAAACTTGGTATGCAGGCACCGCTACGGTAGGTGCTTATAAGTGAGTTTGTAAAAGGGGGCGTGGCACATCCCATAGGAGTGAAATTTGTTATCAGCTATAAATTCGAAAGCATAAGTCACATGAACTTTAAATTTGGTATGCAGACATATCCGTGGTAGGAGTTTATAGTTAGGCATATATAAATGGGTTTGTAAAAGGTCACATCCCATAGGCGTGGAAATTTTAACCAGCCATAAATTGGGAACCATAAGTCACATGAACCTGAAATTTGGTATGCAGACATACCCACTGGGAAAATAGGTAAGCACCTTGCGAGGTAAGCCATGTTTTCTTTCAGTTTTTAGTACCAAAATTGTCATCATGGCCAATGCCATCTACTAGTAAAGGGCAAAATGAACACCTCCGAAGACACATTACGTTGTCAGTTGCAAAATAACGTGCAGCCGAAGTTATTTCCAAGCACCGAACTACTCCGAGCAACTGCTCTGCATTACACGTAACTTACTTTGTATAGCGGCTCAGAAGTATGTCTGATACCAAATGTACATTCTAAATTCCTACTTACATAAGGCGGCCATGCCTTTGTAAAAGTAAGGGACGTTCGGCAGGGAAATGGTAATGACTGCCAGGTGAAGAGTAAGTTGCTAATAAGGTATTATTACGTGCTCCTAATTCCCACTGGGTATATATGGGAGGTGTTAAGAATAAAGTTTATATAAATGTGTTTGTAAAACTGGGATAAATATGTATTCAACTATTAGACCGCTCTGATATTAAAAAACTGGGGTTTTTTTTTTGAAACCTTATATTATAGTAGTTGAAGAAAATAATTTTCCTCCTCTAATTTGTGCTGAACAGAATATTTGTATTACTGTTATATATTTTGATTTGTTTACCCCGGACGACGTCGGGTGCTCTGCTAGTATGTATTAGTTGTCAAATTAGGCGTCCAGACAATTATTAAGACAATACATTTTTCAGCAAGCGCCATTAGCGTCGTTTGGCGTGAATTTCATATTATTTACTAAAATATCCAAACACAAATCACTTTTTCCTGATTCTGCGATTTTGTGCAATTTTGTCCTGCCTCTTTTTCTCAAATTAACCAAGACTAGGGATGCAAACGATGCATCGATATTTTTGAAACATCGATAATATGGGTTCAAAATTCGATGTTTGCCATCGATGTTTACAATTTCCCAAAATCGCAAAATTGGCGATACATCAGTTTCAGCGATGTTTTAACATCGATTTATGCTCCTAAAATTTTTTTTACTGGCCATTAATTTTATTAGCTATTCTTTCGATATTAAAAATGCTTACTTAGTCATTAAAAATGGACCAGGATCCCGTTGAAATTTCAACGAAATCGGGCCTTGGAACTTTAGCCTCTGCGAACTAACGAAGGCAGGCATTTTTATTCTGTTTAAAGGAAGGGTAAAGGAATGGTAAATAAATAAAGGGAAATACATCCATATGTAAGTCTTTTTCTAATTGAATTATTACAAAGAGTTGGAATTTAAAAGTATTAAATTTTTCTTTTAATGTGACTACAACCTAACAAATTTTGAAACATCGGAAACCATCGATATATCGATGTTTTTCTGGCGAAGTATTTTAGCATCGATGTTTATTTTTCCGATGCATCGAAACATCGATTTAACGATGTTACTCCCCAAAACTTGCATCCCTAGCCAAGGCGTGACCGAATTGTCCAATTTACTGTCTTCGAAAGATCATAGACAGTTATACGGCTTCTCACGGCACCCCAATTACGTACATAGTTCGCTCTCTTATTCGTAATTTGCACGCCAATTACCCTTCGAATTACGTAATTCGCCATATAAAATTTTGAAAGCGAATTACCTCATTTGTTTGTAATTAAGGGGGTCAATTTTCGTTCTGTGAAATGGTGAAAGGAAAACTATTTTCACGTTTTCACTGCATTTTCGATTCGCGTTCAGTGAAAATATGAAAAGAAACGTCAAAATGTTTTCACATGGAAAAAATGAAACGAAACGAAATTTTCACTTTTTCACAACCCTGGCGATTCTCGTTCTATGGGCCTGTGCCAATTGATAGAAAAGTTCTGTGGATAGTAAATTTTTGACAGCTATGAGGTGAATAAAAATGTTTGATACGGCAGGGCTAGTGAAAAATTTGACAGCAAGCATTATCAAGAAGAAGAACGAACAACGCACGTATACACATAAATTAAAGAAAACAAAAGCGAGTGGAAATAAAAGAACATGGTCCCGCCGACTAAAAAAAATAAAGAAAAGCTATATAACTTGTAAGATTTAATTTCAGATTTACATATGAAAAGGCGTTATGTGTTTTTTTAATTAAAAATACTATTTTACAGGGAGCAGTTCAGAACGCAGAATCCTTCTGGAAAAGCGCATTGACAAGGATGTTTGGTTCAGTTCAAAGAACGCCAACAGCAACGAAGGCTGGAAGTGAGTAAGAACAATATAAATAATTTGAAGACTTTATTAAGCAAATGACTTCGTACTCCACTGACCATCCGTGGCGCTTTTTGGGAATGTGAGTTACAATTTTTCGAAACGAAGCAGAGGACAACCTAAGATACATTTTTGTAGTCTTGTTATCGCCGTTCATAATGCTGCTTAGTATTTTGGAATAAACGTCTTGTTGCATGTACATAATACCCTAAAACGACATATGTTTTTATTGGAAATAATTGTACACGGTTTTAAACATTTTTGTGAACACACTTACCAGACGGTTTTGACGTGTTTTTATTTCTAATATTACTGCTAAAAGGTCTAATAAATGCATGGATTTCAGTTCCAGAAGAATTGAAATCATCAAAGGCAAATATTTTTATATAATTGCTGCATTTTATAAATTGCAAACTCGATAGTCTTCTTGTGCATCAAAGCAACTGTCAAAAATTTCCAGCAGTAAAAAGTTACGAATTGGCACAGCAGAAATGTAAAATTTTCTCACCATAGTAAAAAGTTTTTCCACCATAGAACTTTTCTATCAATTGGCACAGGCCCTATGAAACAGAGCAACCAACTGTCAAAAACTTTTCAAATGTTAAAAAAAATTATTCACAGCCTATTTATACGTGACAACAAGATGGAGAAGGTACCAAGAGGTACTAAGGTACTAAACTATTTGGACGACAATGTAGACATTACAAACGATAAGTATGCAGCCTTTTCAATATAAAAAACGAATATCAATTATTTATAATTATAGATTTGTTGCGGCAGATGGTGCCAAATTTCGTGAAGAAAAGTGGAAAGAACTGGCGGTGAGCCTTAATGGTCTTGGTGGCACTCAAAAGGATGGTGCAAAATGAAAGAAGTATTGGAGCGATTTAAAGTATAATAACTTTTCTTGATTTGACTATTTCTTTTTTAATGTTTTGTTTTAATATCTACAAACTAAATACTCGCAGAAAATATAGTGCGATAAGGCAGGCAGAGCAGAGAAGCGGCATAAATGGTTTCAGCCGGGCCAAAGCATTGTCAACGCTGGAATTTCTTGCATTTTCCAGTTCTGCATGAAATTAAAAAAATGAATTCTTGTGGTTTCTGCTGCCGAATGACCATATTTTTATAGAAAAATAAGAAAAATGTGGCATGGAAAGTATAAATAAATAAAAACGTCGAAACGTCAAGGTATGCATATTTTTAACGCTGACTGTACATACATATATATATATATATATATAAATTCGTAGCCAACTGTGATCTACAGAAGAAAAATCAATTATAGCGAGTGTCCTACCAGCGTATGCACTGTGATCGAAAAAACGCTGTAGTGTAAACAAAAAAAGAGTTGAACAACATTTTTTTTCTCCCAATTTAGAGCGAGCGACTGCTAACGACAATTTATTTTGTCCGAATAAAATCGGAGCCCCAGAAGTAAAAAAAAAAAATTATGTACAAATTTACTAATAAGTATATATAAAAATAAAAACATTCAAAAAGGAATACAGGTTTTATATCGTCAGACAATTTTTAAAGTTTGAGTTTTAGTAAAAGTCTGCATAAAAAAATAATTGCATATAACTTGCATACTATTTGCATTAGAGTCAACACACAGTATCATATTGCAATAATACCTATCTTAAATTAATAAAATAATCGATGGTTAAATATTTTAAATTTTGAGGGTCCCACTTGAGAATATATTACTCAGTACGATTACTACTTTTGGCCGCTGCTTATATGGAGACGTCCCACTGTGCGACACCGCAAACATTTTCGCATGCCCTTAAAGGCCCTACACACGGATCGATTTATTGGCCAACCAGTTGGCCAACCGCTAGAAGTTGGTGGTAAATAAGCCGTGTGTAGACAAGTTGGCAAACCTTTGTCAAGTTGTTCGTCAGATTGGTCAACTTGTTGCTCTGTGTGTAGACAAGTTGGCAACCTAAAATGCGATTTCATTTTGTTAAAGGCGCATCAACGTTAACATGTGTTTTTCAGTTCGTTTCGCTAGTGAAAATACGTATAATTTGCGCAAAGGGGGCGGTAGCAACAATAAATACATACAAATGAGAAGCATTCATGGCATAGCTTAAAAGTTTACCAGTGCTATTGTGTTGTTCACAGTTCAAATATTCTCACTCAAATGAAATTGGCCAACTAGTTGGTGCGTTTGTAGGGAATTTCGTTAAGTAGGTTGGTCAACTGGTTGGCCGATAAATCAATGCGTGTGTAGGGTGTTTACCTACGCCATCTATCTGTCACCCGAAGCGCTGTGGACATCACCGATCGTGGCCGCTCGCTTACTGGGCCAAAGGTCGGAGGAGTTAGATGGGAAAGATGAATAAACAACTAACTGCTGCTACAACAACAACATAAACGATTTGTAAAATATGGTGTGTATTTTTCGTCTATGGGAGTGACTTACAGTTTTACGCCGCCTCTGTACGGCAAATGGATTTTATGAGAAGCTTTTTACTTTGTTTATAATTTAGATGTTGCTGGGACTAGGGATCGAACCTAGGTGCTATGAAGCGGTAGTACGCACCTCTAACCACTCGGTCAAAGCGGCAGCCTAAAATATATTAAAAAATAGTATTTCAGAAGTCAAAAAAAGGTAGAGAACAGCGTAGAAGGTATAACGATCCCAAATTTCGAGGCCAGGAAATAAAATAAAAGGTTAGAAATAGCTTGAAAAAGACTCAACTAGCAGCTCTGGCCATCAGTCCGGTCTTCATAATTTATGTATTCATCAGACCAAGGCACGTTCTATTAATGAGCCTTGCATCAGACCGAATTGCGTTTAACAGCTGGTACATCCACCTGATTAGCTTGTTGTAAAGAGGTTTTTGGGTGTGATGCTGGGGAGTGATCCTTGACCAGATATAAATCTGGGTAGACTCGACTGTCGTGGGAATGGTCTGATCAGCTATTCGCCGCCGGCTTTGGAAAGTTCAGACAGTATTTCATGGATCCCAAGGGCTTTGTTGATCTTAAGTCTTGCTGTGTTATCGTTAGTCCAGCTAAGCCACGTGAGCATTGTCCCTAAACATGGATCTGGGTTCCTATTCATCAAACGCGCGCCTGCTGCCCCTATTAAATATGCTCAGGTGTACTCTGACACATTATCCCCGGTCGTGCAGCCATTTGATTGACGGAACGGAATGACCCAGCCAAAGACTGCAACATCAGGATCATTCCCCAAAAACTCTTTGTGGAATTTGTATGCTGTTGCAACAACACACATAAGTATGTATTTATACTTAAAACTAAAGTACAGGTTCTAGCTCTTGCTTCTACAGTTTTTTTTTTTCGAGTACGTCAGTGCGATCAGTGATGGCAATTCACACTGCTGTAGACGGTAGCCAAAAGTTTCTCATAGAATATAGCAAACCAACAAAAAATGAAAAAAAAAATCGACACAAGAAACGATCATCAAATCTGGATCATTTTTTCAATACCAGTTGTGCGAATCTAAAACCTTTTGTGTATCGGTCGAAATAGTCGGACTGTTGTGATTCTATGTACATACATATATATGAATGTATTTGTGTAGATCTGTGACACAAAACCGTTGCAATGCAAACTAAAATATCTTTGACATACAATAACTCAAAAATCGAATCGAGGTCAGCGTTTAGCAGCGTTCGGCAAGCGGTTATAAGTAACATTAATGGCGTTGAAGAGCTGTCGATTTTAACAACGGAAAATAAATACTTTAAAAAATTGCATAATTAAAGAATTGTGACTTTTTTTGTTGTGACCACGTGCAGATGTTGCATATTCATATACATATGTAAGTACATATACTTATGTATGTATGTACATATATACCGACTATACTAATATTTGTTCAGCACGGTGCAGACGAATATAGTAAATACCCTGCAGTGAACAGTTCAACTAGTATGCAAAAATTCCAGTTCATGAACTATTATTTAAGGACGGAAGCCATACTAGTACGTTGTGAACTACAGTTATACCAGTTCCTCGTTGCAAAAATTAAACTAGTTGGTAGAAATTCTACTTAGAAAACTGGTATTCGTATTCAATGGGGAATTCATACCAGTTCTTATGGACTATAAATATACCAGTTCTCCGCAGTGAAATGCCAAACCAGCCTGTAAAAATACCAGTTCATTAACTAGTCCGTGCTCAAGCGACGCCCTACTATTTCGACGATTTCGAACAACTTATGCGATCAGCGATATCTGTCTTTGAATTGATTATTTCGATTTAAACATACTAAATTAAAAATTGTAAATTTCATTTCATTTGGAAAAAACCTAAATACTCAAATACCATAAAAAATTAAATGAAATATTTTTTTTCTTTTTACAAGAATGCAAATTAAAAATTAACAACAAGAAAACAAAAAATACATTAAAAATATAAAATAAAAATTCTTTGTTGGAACTCGGATCTCGTCTTGTGTATTCGTCCATGTAAAATCTGTCAAACGAAAACCAGTTTTCGCTGAAAACTACTTGAAAACTCATGTTCCACTCATTCCAAACGGTGTCTTCATTAGTTTTTTTTCGATTATTTATCATCCATAACGGCATAACACTATTTCAGATTGATTGTTAATTGGCTGGGCAAAGTAGAAGTAAGAATAAAAGTTAAAGGTTGTAAATGAAAAGAAAATGAAGAAAAAGTGTTGTGGTTCTGTTTTTGTGTAGCAAACCTGTAATATAAAAAGATGAAAGAAATGTCAGCGAAAACACTAACAACCGGTGTGAACAGTCTTCAGCCCATAATCCCAAAGCTCGTTTTCAAAGTGTTTTCGTTGTCGGTCAGAACATGGTATTACGCGGGGCATGAATTGGCAGTCTATCCCGTCAACTGGTATGATGCTACTAGTATTTCTACTGATGGAGTGCTGATGCAGGAGCGGACATCTCCTATGACATCACCATGTTAAAAAAACCAGTCGCTAACCTTGAAAAAGGACTCAATGTGAACTAGTTGGGCTAAAAGGTAAACTGGTGGAATTCTAGTTCACAACTAGTAGCTTTGCCTGTAGGGTACTTTTAAAATTGCAGTGATGGATAACGAAATTTGTTATATGCATACAGTGATGGTATCTTAATACCTAAACTAAATCAATATTCAATCATAATTGGCCTGCTATTTAGAATTTTACACTACTTATAGTCGGGTGGAGGTACATCGCCTCGGTCATCCTCAATTGCCATTCAGCGGGGTGGAGAAGTGTTCGCTCCAAGTCGAGTACTTCCTTCTAGAGCTCACTATATCTTTATTATTTCCAGCTTTAACCTTAGAAAATGGAAAACCCAACAAAGTCTAAGTGGTAGAAGTTATAGCTGCTATTTGGGAGATCACTACATCTCCTCATCAAACTTCTTTTTCTAGACGTCAGTAAGAATCGAACCCACATCATCGACGTGCAGAGTCTGCACGTTAACCGCTGATTCGCCGCTATTTCAACTTGACAGCGGTTACAGCGCTAAATAAGAAGAAGAATTAAAATTACATATCGTAGTTTTAGGCAGGCTCAGCCTTAACTACTTTGTTTCTGCAGCTTCGTGTGACATTCCTCGGCGTACTCATTCGGTCACATGAGTCCACTACTTGCCTACATGCATATATCGGTTTATTGAAGACTGCTCTCAGACAGCAGCCGTGATAGACGAGTCGCGAAAACGCTGGCCGCCCGATGGGATTGCAGCTTTCGAACGTCGAACCTTCCTTGTGTTGCTAATTGTGCATTTTTGGCTGCACGGAGGCGTGTCATATTATAAATTTTCAATGCTTTATTTGGTGGGTACTTAACCCAGTATATAACCAATAATTCTTCTTCTGGAATGGTGCTGTAACCGCCTAAGCGATTTTGACCAAGTCCAATAAATCACGCCAGGCGTATTTTTTTAATTTAATTTAATTTATTTATTTAGTTTCATTATTTTAGGGTTTTTATTGTAATTTTTAAACTTAATTAAAAAAATATATTTCTTTTTTTTTTTATGGCACAAGTGGCTTCGAACCTGCGATCTCAGAACCAGAACCAGTAGGCTTCACGTGACGCCACAGCTGACATTTTTAAGAAAACCAATTAATTGCATTTTATTTTTGGCTTTGGCTATTCAATGGCAGATGACGCTGAATGCTTAAGTTCTTCGAAATTGTCCAACTGCTAGGCACATACTAGTTAATGAACTA